GTTTAATATGACTAGATAGGTTTAAAAACAATAAGACGACACATACTTATATCTGGTAGCTAGGCTCTTATTTAATATGTCTAGATATGTTTAAAGACAATGTTTATGTACATAACGATCAGCCGAAACACACAGTTTTCAGTAACAGTCTTTCTGCAGTATAAGTACTACGCATGTCAGTAAAATCAAAATTAGATGGATTTCCCTAAATGTGGAGATCTCATCTAATGTCTCATCAGTTGCGTTTATCTACAACAATATATTCATACATCGTGGATATCTGTACAAATGATATATGTTCTAATGAATAAAAAAACCCTATAACTGGAGCGCTGAAGAAGAAAGGCCCACCTTTTGTTAGCGCTCGGGTTATAGGGTTTTTTATTAATTCATATCAAAACTTCTTGAATGTTCTAAGATTGTTGTATTCACACCACGTGCAGTTCTATATACAGGTTACGTGATCTAAGTATATAAAAATATAAAACTTAAACCAAAGTTTTTGTTAACTTTCTATAATTTTGATACCATTTACAGAAACCTACGATACGAGGTTCCATGTAAGCCCAAGAAGAACATTGTGTTTGTGAAGACTCACAAATGTGCCAGTTCAACAGTACAGAACATGTTGCTACGTTACGCGAAGAGCAACAATCTGACCGTTGTCCTCCCGATCCTCTCGCGCACACATTACTTATCGCGGCTGCTCCCGTTCAACCGAAAGATGATCGCCGGAGCTCCTTGGGGTCACATGGAATATAACGTTTTTTGTCACCACGCCATCTTCAACGAGGAAGAAATTTCGGCCGTTATGCCTAAAGACACAGTTTACGTCTCCATCCTGCGGGAACCAACACGGCTTTTCGAGTCTCTGTACGAGTACAGTAACATGAATGAATTCTATAACATGACCTTGACGGATTACGCAGCTGCTACTCGAGACCCTACGAAGTATGAAACTCTGAACAAAAGAGCTCACGGAAATATGGGCAGAAATCAGATGCTGTTTGATTTCGGTGTTAAACCTGCTCTTTTCGAAAACAAAACAGAAATTGAAAAAACAATTATGAAAATAGACAGAAAGTTTGATTTAATTATGATTGCTGAATACTTTGATCAATCTCTAATTTTGCTGAAGGATTTGATGTGCTGGGACTTTGATGACATTGTTAGTCTGAGAATCAATGCAAGAGATGATAGGTTTAAACATAGTGTAGCACCGGATACAGCCTATCTCCTGCGTCAGTGGAACGCGGGAGATCAAATATTATACAACGTGTTTGTCGAGAAACTCAAACGTAAAATCGCCGACTATGGCTTAGAAAAGATGAAGACAGAAGTTCAAAGGTTGACCGAGAAGAGGAAGTTCTGGTATAACACGTGTATTTCGGAAGAAGTAGACGCTAGTCATCTGACTCGGTATCGCGTATGGAGTAACAAAGTTCTTGGTTTTGTTCTTAAACAAGGAATACAAAATAAAACATGCGAAGACCTTGTAAGGCCGGAGCGCGAGTTCACAAACTACATGAGACAACGACAAATGATGAAAGCCTTGTTTACAAATGAACACAAACCGGAATTTCCACTGCCTGACTTTTTGAACGTAAATAAGAATCAAACGAAAATAATTCTCGAAGTTCTCCAGGATATGGTCAAGAATAAAGTCCGGTTTTTACCTGTCGCCGTAAGGGGCTCGGTAAACGCTGGACTTAAAAATATATACCTAAAATCTTCTACTAGCCAGATAAATAAATAAAGTCCGGTTTTTACCTGTCGCCGTAAGGGGCTCGGTAAACGCTGGACTTAAAAATATATATACCTAAAATCTTCTACTAGCCAGATAAATAATAACAATCACGTTTGAGATGTTTCATTTTTGCTTTAATGGACTATGAAAATTAACTTCAAAGTGTAGTATAGGATACTTTGACATAATTTGTGAGAAAATACGTAGTTATCTGTTTGGTATTTACCTTCTTAATGAAACTATGTAGTTATGTGTTTGGTATTTACCTTCTTAATGAAACTATGTAGTTATGTGTTTGGTATTTACCTTCTTAATGAAACTGTGTAGTTATGTGTTTGGTATTTACCTTCTTAATGAAACTATGTAGTTATGTGTTTGGTATTTACCTTCTTAATGAAACTATGTAGTTTATGTGTTTGGTATTTACCTTCTTAATTAAATTATGTTGTTGTGTTTGGTATTTACCTTCTTAATGAAACTATGTAGTTATGTGTTTGGTATTTACCTTCTTAATTAAATTATGTTGTTGTGTTTGGTATTTACTTCCGATATAAAGGAAGAGTTTATTGTTTCAGTAGTTGAAACGTGTATATATATTACTGATATGTATAGCAGTATTAAGGTAGAATTGTGTAGCATCAGCTGAAAGTTCGTAATTCGTCTATTCATTCTTCTTTAACCGTTAGCGACAACTTTCCATGAATTTGTAAACAGTAACCATTACTGACAGCCTTCTATTATGTAATAAACTTAGCTACCATTAATGAAAACAACCTTATATCATCTAGTAAACATAGCAACCATTAGTGACAACATCCGTCTATCATCTGGTAAAAACAGCAACCATTAGTGACAACATCCTTCTATCATCTGGTAAACAT